AACAGCAACATCAGGCGACATTGATAGTGATTGAAGGACAGCTGTTCACACTAGGCAAACTAGCCGCAGTCCGGCGAATGTCAAATTAGAATGCGAAACGTGTTGCCAATGGGAATGTTGCTGTTGCTGCTGTAGTTGCTGTTGCTGTTGCAGTTGCTGCTGCATTGGACAATGGACAATGTGGCGGCACCTTTGGCTCTGCGGCATGCAAAGCAGCAACAGCAACAGCAACAACAACAACTGTTGCTGGAGTGCAAATTAATTGAAGCATCGCAAGGCAATGTCAACGACAGCAACATCACGTGTTGCATGTGGCATTTTGGCGTAGGCTGGGTTCTGTTTCCAAGCCCCCCCTCTCGGCACATTCTTATAATTATGTCATTTAATTAAGCAAAGACAGTTCGCTGTGCCACGACTAATTAAAACATCGCGCCACAAGCAGCAGCACAGCAGCAGCAGTAAAAGCACAGCAGCAACATCGCCAGCACAGCAGCAACATGTGCGGTGGAATGAATGACCGGCCACTGTCAATGCAACGAGCAATATATATAACGCAAAACAGCAATTCAACTTTGCCGCTCAATGGATCGTACGATGCAAGATCTTCTAAGTAAGGAATGCTTCCAGGAATTTGGGTCATAATTAATGTGGCATGATTTGGCAAGACACTTTAATCAAGGCGAATTAAATAGAAGGAAAGGGATGGGGAGAGAAAGGGCTGAGGCCGAAAGCCACCCAAAAAGTGCACATCAATCATACGCAGCGGTGGCCCAGCTGTTCAATTGCAATACCATAACTCACTTTTATAGGCCATCCACTCGCACACAATTCGCTGAAAACCTGCGCACCGGGATTAAGATTTGCCGCCGAGATTCTGGCCAGGCACGCTATGTGCCATATGCCATATGCCATATTCGCTATATTCGCTATAAGCCATAAGACTCGTGGTTGCAGTCGGTAAATTACAACAACTATTACGGGCCCAGCCCCACCAAAAGCCAAAGCCAAAGCCATTTCTTGGAAAACTCAGTTTATACGCTTTCGGGCCTGGCCACATGAAAATTTATGAGTGGACAGCGCTTCAAGTGCAACACCTGGTAGCTCGGCTAGTTTTTTGCTGAGTTTTTCTCTGGTTTTCAACTGAATTCGCAGGCTGCTGCTGCTGCTCCAAAAAAAAGGGAACAAAAGACGCACTCAATGGGCCCGCATCGCATTTGATGTCCTTTGTAACGGCAGCCCACTGTGCGTGACATTTGCGTTAAGTGGCTGTGGGAACTTCAGTGCGGCCAAAAGCTAAACCTAAAGCCAAAAATTATGAACAGAAGCCCGGCGACCAAACCGACCAGCAAAAACTTTTCATTTGCCCGATTTTGCCTGGCCGATAAGCCCAAAAAAGTTGCCAACAACAAATGAAAATGCACGACACACACAAATATTGTCAAAAACTTGGACCGCAGATATCGCTATCTCTATCGAGGCATCTATAGCCCTCTCTCTCTTATTCTCAGTGTGAGTGCAATGGCTATACATCTGGGCAGTTCGAATTGCAGGCAAAAATATTCAAACGCTCGGCTGGGGTAATTAAAAATAAATTTTATGCTCGAGCTTAACAGCCGTCGGAGTCAGAAAAAGGCTAAAAATATAAAATACTTTAAATGACATAACGAACTTTAAATGCTCTAGTTTTCAGTATGTATTTTAATGATATAATAGATTTTAGATACTTTAACTAAACTATGCCTTAGTTTTATTCCCTATAGCATTTATTTTACAAATGGTGTTTAAATGGTAATTAATTGATTATCTTAACGGCCATAATATCTTTCTCAAATTCCTAAAACAAATAAAAACCGTTTTAAATGGCTTACCAAATTCCTACTTTATTGCCCTCACCCAAATACCTTTTTGTCCCAAGTGTATTATAATCATGGCTAAGACAAATAGTGAAATACCAAAACAAAACAACAAATAAAAGCCACCAAAACAACTGTTTGTGTGCATATGTGTGTATCTTTTTCATCGAAAATGTTTGTGAAAAAAGCGAGTCAAGATGAAAAAAAATGTAGAAAAATAAAACAAAAGCCCAGCTAAACTTAAATATATACACACATACTATATAGTCGAGTGTGTAGTCACGGGGCAGACAAAAGTTATTGCCAAAATTTTCGGCATGTTTGCTTTTGAAATTTAAATTTCACATTTGTTGTCGTTGGTTTTTATGGCCTGGGCTATCATAAAAATATCCGCGTCTCGAGCATGTTCAGCTCTTGTGTTGTTTTGGCCATTAAAACTGCATTGGCGTCTGCGATTAAGCCAAGAAAATATATAGAGAGTAAAAAAAAAAGAAAATACCAAACTGATGCCGCCCTAGTTGCTTAATTTGCCACTAATGACAGCCAGTAAAGTTGGCCGCCCCTCATAATTGACAACTAAATTGGCCGAGTGACAAGGGGGGCTTTTTACCCCCAACACCAACCCCTACCCCCGTTTAAGCCGCCCCTGAGATGTGACATATGCAGACTAATGAATTTTAAAATCAACGCTCGCCACAGGTGCCCGCCGCTCGTTATGGATGCGATTGGGAATGCGAATGCGAATGCCACTCCGCTCCCCAGACAAACTGTCTGTCAAACGATTTGAATCCCCAATCCACAGTCGTATACCCAGAATCCCATGGAAACCGAGTGCATGAATGAATTACAGCGGCAACTGGGGGATCAAATCAAGCATCAATAAAGTCGGCATATGAATAACATGAATTAAACATAAATGCAAAGGATCGGATGGACGGATCCACATCCACCATCCATGGATCGCTCGCAGCTCTTTCTCTGATTGATCACTTTGTGCAGTTGCACAGCCTCACTTAGCCAGACATTCCAGGGCCAGCACTACCGAGCACTCGGATTTTAAATTAAAATTTTGCACACTCCAAGAGCAGGAAATAAATTCAGCGACCACGCCGCATTGATGCATGTCACGTTTGGGTGTTCGCTGCGTTTACGTGGAACTGTCAAAATGCAAACCGCAATAAAACCCAAATAATACAACAAAAATGTGTAACCAAAAATAAAAAAGAAAAAACCAGAGTAAAAAACCAAAGCCCAAAAGCTGCAGCAACAACAAATACAATGGGTTTCAGCCAGGCTAAGTGCCAAGTGAAAATGGTTTGGGGCATCAACTGTCAAAACTGACAGCCGAGTCACATTCGTCGCAGCCCAGAAAACCGAAAACTGAAAACTGAATGCTGAATGCCGAATACTCAAAAACAGAAAGCAGAGCCAACGGTGGCTCAAATTGAAAATTAACTTAGCGGAACTGGAAATTTTTTTTTTGGAGGCGTGTGAACTTCACACACACAGCCTTACACACCTGAGACTTGGTACTTTTGCAAAAGACGGGGGAAAAAAAGTATTATAATAATGTCGTCTTCTTGGTCTTTTGTTTTTGGTTTTTGGCAGCCCACCTCCCTAATGAGCATAGATCATTTTCTTTTTGGTCTAGGAACAAATTTCAGACAACTAGGAGAAAGGGGAACTGGTGACCATAAAATAATACTTAAAATTTTAGATGATATTTTCAGCAGGCCTAATAGAGTTATAAAGAGTGGGTGGAAAAATCAAGAAAATGTTTATAACTTTAATTTGGTATTTAAAGAAAAATACAACTGAATATAAAACTATTTTATATGGTTTTGAATCCCAACCAAAAGTATCTCAATACATGATCTATGTTCCAATGTTTAATCAATCTTATTTTTCTACTGAAATGAAATATGTCCTCATCCTATCATTTCACGCCTCCCTCCAATTGTTTCAGTCCTTATCTGGTTCCATAATTTCAGGTTCCAGGCATAGGGATACCATCTAGCTGCAGGACAACGGCGATTTCTATCGACTCACTTTACCGATTTCGATGGCGACCCACAGGAAACGCTCACTCAGCAACACAAAAAAGGCGCGAAGCAATCGATTTGTGGGCGGTGGGTGGATACATATACTAACTCCATAAAAAAAAGTACCAACTAGAGCGGCAACTATCAGGCAAAGGCAAAGGCAACCCCCGCCAAAATACATTCATTAAAAACGCATTAGAAATGACATTAGAACAAATGTCCAAGGGGTGACCAAAAACAGAAAAAAAATGGAAGAAATTACTTAAATAGGGTTTTCTATAAATCGAAATGGTGGTTAGGGTATGGGCTACTTTTCCCAAAAATTGCTCTGCTTATATTTGGAAAATTTCCATTGATACGTTTACAGTTCAGTTGGCATGCCATTTAATATTTAACGTTTCTATAAGTTAAATAGAAATGGCTTTTTTTAGAGGCCTTTAACTATTCCTACTTGAATAGTTTAAAACCATTTTAAATGGTTAGGAATATGAATTGAATAATGTAAAATATTTTGATATAATGGAATCTATTGTAAAAGACTTTCATTTTAATAAAATAAGAATTGATATATAGAAAGTCATTGCCTTCTAAATTAGGTAAATTCTCAGTGATCTTTACAGTTGTTTTTTATCCACATTTTGTAATGATAGATCTTCTATAATTTCTTGCTTTTAAAGTTCCAAATTGTAGTGGATATTATACTATATTATAACATAATTAACTTTTCAAAACGCAGCTATTCACATTTCAAATTAAAAACCACATTTTTTAATGTAATGATCCTTGTATTATAAGGAACATAATCAGTTCTTAAAAAACAAATAGCCAATATTTTTTATTTCTCTTTTTCATTTGTGTATTCAGTTCTTTAAATAAGAATCTATCTATTTCAGAACTTGACATTTCAACTGAACTGTTAAGATATCATAGGAATTTTGATGATCCATACTTGTTCAGATATCATGGGTATTTAGATGATCTATACTTGTTCAGATATCATAGCGATTTTGATGATCTACACTTGTTCAGATATCATATGCATTTTGATGATCTATACTTGATCAGATATAGGAATATTCTAGATCTATATTTAGGCTCAACTTACTGTGCTGGTGGTAACTCGGGTAGTAGCGCCGGTGGTGTCCGTTGCTCTCCAGCGCGTAGAAGGCGCTCATGTCGCTGGTGTCCAGTCCGGATCCGCCGCCGCCGCCCAGGGCCGCGCCCACGCCCACGCTGCTGCCCGCCGAGCTGGCGCCGCTGGAGAGGCTGTGGTGGCTGTGGGCCAGGCTGCTCCCGGCGCTGCCAAGGCCGTTCGTTTGGGGCGAGACCCCGCCCCCATTGCCGCCGCCCGAGGAGCCGCCCCCTAAGCGCGGACTGTCGTACCAGCTGCGAGCGGCAGCCTCCGCTGTTGAGGTCATATCCATTTCGAGTATAATTTTGAATGTTTTTCTGTTCTACCGGGGGCCAGGAATCGGTTGGATCTTTATATCTCAGCGGGGTCTTCTCTTTTATTGGGTGTTTTTAGCTCTCTTCCGGGCTTAATAGCTACTCATTTTTCATACACAATTTGTTTTCACTCTGTGGAAATCAAGAAATTTGTTGAACAACTTTAGAAGTTGGCTGGTGTCTGCTGTTGATAAGATTTTAACGGTAGCCGGCGTTATCACTCACTCTCCCTTATCGCGAGCTTTACATTTTTTGTTCAATTGTTTTTATGGCTTTATGGCGGTGGTACAGTTATACAGGATAACCGTGAGTTGATTTACGATTGGACTTTTGAATTCTACGAGGGCTAGTAGTGTGGGAACTGCTAAGACTAAGGGTAATCGAAGTATTTTGGCATTCATCCGAATGATTGATGACCAAGATCCCGCCCAGGGGACCTAATAAACATGTTGTCCCAACAATTGCATTGTCACAATGTTTACACACAAAGGATCCTGAGGATACGAAAGGTATCTGCGGGATGTCTGTGAATAGGCGCCTGCAAACTGAAAAGCAGGTGTGTTTCTAGGTGTTCTACGGACCTCTGTGTGGGCCCAATTAGATGCGATTTAGAGGTTTATCGAAGAGCTTCAATTGCTAACTGGCATCTGGTATCTGGTATCTGTCAGGGGTTTCTTATAGAAGGGCCCAAGAGTCATATCGCAGAGACAGGGACTCATACTCCCATATTGATTTAGACAGGTAGCCGAATTTTTTGGGGAATTTCGGGCTTATCAGCAATAGATAGCATATATGTTTGTACAGCGAGCTGTGTGCATTGCACTCGTTGATTTCTTTTCGAAACGATTATTATCAACGGGAGTTCTTTTTTTTAACGTCTATTTGCTTTCTTTGTTTGCCTTTGGCTTCGAAAAATTACTAATAATACAGGCGAAGAGTTGGACTCGAGTTTTATTTTGTGGACTGTATCTTTAAGGTGCCTTTCCAGATGCCTATCGTTCGATTGACAATTGCGCTACGAAAAGAACGGTACGATAAGGCAACATAATTTGTTACCTCCCGAAAATGGAAGAAAAACAAATAACCAGGGTCTTCAGAGTCGAAAACTCAATCAATTTATCTATCTATCGGCAGCAGAAGCGGCGATAAGGAGAAAAAAAACTAGAAAAATAGAGAAGCAGACACTTTTCATTAAATGTCTTCTGGTATTTTTGTTTTTCTTTACCGCGCGCTTAAGTTGATAGCAATAAATTGATAAGCGTAAGTGCCAGATTTTTTTGGAATGCTAGTGTCAGCAATTTTTGTGGGTTTTTTGGGGTTTTCAACGGGGGCTGATCGCTCGATAGGGATAATAAGCTTTACGCGGGGGCTAGCGTTAAAAACTTTTCGATTATATTTCGATATCATCTCATTTTTTTGTTTTTAATGATCATTGATCACACAGATTCTTACATTTGTAGCACACTGTTTTAGTTGACACTGCTTGTTTGTACTGGGTTTTTAAATAATGCTCTTGGTATATTTTTTTTTTGGTTCACACTTGGATTTTCTTTTGCCGACGCGTTTCTCGAGCTTTCTTTGTTGTTGTCGCGGCGAGACGAGAATCGATAGCGAAATACGAACGGAGCGAGCGGACGCACGCCGATAACACGCTTGCAAACACGTCAACAGTTGAAATCGAACTGAACGAACACACGAGCGCAAAACGCCAAACAGGAAAGACTGGCGCTGCTTGCTCTCGCACCACCACTACATGCGGAGGAAACCCGTTTGAACGAGGCCCGGCCTACGCTCGTGTGTGTGTGTGCGTTGGTGTGCTGGCACATACAAGATGGTCGCGCTGTCAAGCAGTGCTCTCTGCGGGAGAGAGGAAGGCAGCTATAGGGTGGTAACAAGCAATATGCCTGTCACTCTTGCACGCCAAGCGAGAGGGGCGTGTTTTTTTGCTGTGTGTGTGTGTGCTGCAGGTAACCGGTTGTTGTTGCAGTTGCATTTGCTCGCTGTGCGTTGTTTTTGCTGTTTGTTTGTTTGCTCCGCTCGAGTGCATCGTTCAATAATCTCTCTGCGGCACGCCTCTCTGCACTTGACGCACACACATAGCCCAGACAATCCAGCGTTTTGCTTGTCTGTTCGCTGCGCTCTCACCTCCCCGCTTCCTCGCCCTCTCCCTCTTGCACTGCCATCCCGTAGCCCCGTCCCTTTCCCACGCCCGCTGTCAAGCAGTGACAACAATCATCGATCGTTCCGTTTGCGATTATGTGCTTTATTTATGGGCCTTAACATGTGTGCAGATTTGTCTGGCGATTTTTGAGTTATATACGCCTGCTGCTTGCTGCTTGCCTCTCTCCCCTCTCTCCCAACGCCTTCTAGTGCGTGTGCGAGCGGGATGGCCATAGGAATAGAGCCAAATTTGCATAAATTAGCAGCTGGAAATTAAGAGAAGTGTATGTACGAACTATGCGAACTGCGAAAGATAGTTTCGTATCTAGATGCAAATTATTAATATGGAGCTCATATATTTTCGCGGCAAGTTGGCTCCTTTGGGGTCGCGTTTGTAGTGTACATCTGCTGCGCATAAACAGCACACTCAAACACACACACACTCACACATTGGCGAAAAAGGAGGAAGTCTCAGATACGTGAGCCAGTTTTCGCCACAGTCGAACTTCCATAAAGTATCTCATAAGTTTAAGTGCGAATTTTATGCACCATATTTCAGTAATTCATTTGTCGGTTGCTCCAATTGGTAAGAAGCCTTGTTATCATTATGTTTCTGGAAGCTTTCTTCAATCGGGATTTAATATTTTACACCCATTTTATAGGTCCAACTTTAACCAAGTGATTTAATCAACAAGATTGTTCTTTAAAAATCCCCGAACTAAATAATATCAGATGTTTAGAAACCTTAAAAATTCTAGGCATCTACAAATTTCTTTTGAATTTTATTCTAAGTCTATTAGCTCTTTAAAAATGTTCTTTGTCTTATTTATTATATATTTTTTTTTTCTAAAAAACCTCATTTAATTTTGTTTAATTAACGATTGATTTATTTTATGAATCCATAAAAATAGATGAAATATTTTATGGAAATTTTTATATTTAGTTTTTAAACGTTCTTGTTGTTTTCCATTTTAATGAATGATTTCAGTCGGTATTAATTCTCTTAATATAGTTTAATTTAAAGCTCAGTGGTTTCGACTAAGGAAGCCCTACTGTTTCTTCCCCCGCATTGATTTTCGCATTAAAAAGAAACTTTTTGGCGCCAAAGGGTTAAGTGAAGCTGCACCTGTGAACGGGCAAAAAGGATGCCAGGTCGTGGGGTTAAGGGAAGGGAAAAAGTAAGGTAAGACAGCTGCTAACTTGAAAGTTTCCCAGGCCGACTTAATTCCACATGAATATTTTTGAATATATTTCTGTTTCTTTTTTTTTGAGCACCTCGCAAGCCATTTCATAAGTTCATATTGCCGCGATACGAATCTAACCAGATCTAACCAAGCTTATGGCTAAAATAAACCGTTTGTCAAACCCCCTGGGCTGACTACCTAAGCAGCAGTTTATGTATGTAAATACCTGCGGCCACAGATAGCGCTGTTGATAGTTACAGATACATAATTTGAGATAAAGATACAGCCCGAAATCCGTAATCCAAAACCCAAAAGACAGTGAGCGGCTGCCAAAATAAGAAACCTGTAACCAAAATCAGATCAACCAACGGTGCGAACACCAAACACGAGCGACGAACCACAGAACAACCAGAAAAAAAAAAAACCCAACCAAATACACAGAAAAGAAAAACAAACAGCAAAACAACAAACTCGGGTGTTGGTGTCACCGACAGAACAACGCAAACAACATCGCAAACAATCTGGTAGACAATCTATAGTGCAAAGGACACCATGGATAGGAAAATAAGCCGTCGCCTTTGAGAGATCTTCGATTAGATGGTATTGGAACTGCATCTGAATCTGTATCCTCAGATTAAACAAAACACACTTGGTCAATCGCGGTTCGAAATTGGGGTAATTCCCTCTAAAGAGTGTTAACTTTTGGTGCTATATCGATTCAATCTGATTTCCTAGCTAGATGCGCACATGTTACAAAATAATTTGGAATCAATTAAGAAAGATTGAAATACTCTATTACCAAGTGGAATATTTTTAGAATTTTTCTTTAGAAATCCTTAAATAGGCATCGACAAACACTTTAAATTGATAAGCAAGTTTGGTACTTTACTTTACAATATCATCAATATAAGATCATAGAAAGCAGGTGAGCAAAATCACGTAAATTCTGGCTAATTTAAACTACAATTTATTTTTAAACTGCTATAAATCACTTGAGATCCCTTAGCAATTCTAGTTCTTTGGGAATGCTAGCGAAATCTCAATGGGTTTCTAGGCGTCGGCGATAAGATTCGTCCAGTCATGTCTTCTTATGGGCCTCCGAAATGGATGAATTGTCACGTCTGCCTGTCAAGCACTGTGAACTCAACTGGTAATCGCCAGATGATAAGTACACATCAGCCCCAATTGGTTGAGGTTATAGTTATAGCAGATACAGGTGGCACCTTTCGATAAGGATTTCAGTTTTCGAATTGATGAGATACCGCTGAAGAGCGCAGTTAAGTGATATATGATATATGGTGAAATCAAAATACTTATAATTTATCAAAAGCCCCATAAATTACCTTCGTCTTGCATATTTGCTTGCATATTGCTACCTAGAAAAATAAATACAAACAATAAATTTAATTTTTCTGCTATTTTAAAGCTGAATGGCTGGGGTATAAATTAAATTAAATTCCCAACTATTGATAAGGTTTATGCTTAAAGATAAGTAACCCCAATAATTTGAATTTTTTATTGATACTTCTAGGAAAATGAAATTAAATTTGGGTTATCTTTGGGTAAAAATACCTAAAGGTTTCTTTTTAAAAGTAAGGGATTAATAGGTATGTATTGGTTATATATTCTAGACAACTTCAATATGAATTAGTTTCTAAATACCGCGTAAATGGTAATACAGTGTAAAATATTTAAATTTTGAGTTTAAAGCCTCTTTTTATGGCTGGAAGATTTCGACTGTACTTATACCAGGTAACCCCAAACTACACATACTATGCCTTAGAATTTTCCTTTTTATGCAGACTTTTCCAGCACGTGCGCAGCTTTTCCGGCGATGAAGACTCCAGTTGGACGCCGTCAAGCAGACAAAAAGGGGTATATATATGTATATGGAGGCAGGGGTATCTAAACGAATATATAGAAAGACTACCAGACATGCCCGAACTATAGACCATGTCTGCCCCCCTCCCACGTAGGCCCCCCTTTTCCGACCGACCCCCCCTCAAAAAAGCTGACGCACGTTGCGTGTAATTCCGATTTTAATCGCATAAAAATGTTTTGTTTATATGTATAATTTAGTTTTAACAATTTACGTTAACCTTTTGTTACCATTTTTAATTTGTGGCTCTGAGGTTGTTAAGCTTGTACGTCTATTGCTGTGGTTTCGGCTATTTGCTGTTCGGGCCAGTTCATAAGCAGCCGCAATTAAATGCTCCATAAAATTGGTTTAAATACGCGTTCAGTCCGCCTCTCTCTTCATATATACATATATGTACTTTTATATATATCCATATCCATGAATGCCTGGGTTTCGTATAGACAGTTATTATTACTGAGCTCGCTGGTTGTTATAATTATTGTCATGCGATAGAAATCAGCGACATTTTTACAGCATTTAAACAAAGCATAAATTCTGATTTAGTTTCAAAATCTGTCGCCGGATTCTGGAAAAATATTACTAGTTTGTGTGTACGCGACTGCAAGTTGCATAAACAAACTAAAATAGAGCATAGAGTATGGTATGATCATCGCAGTCCGAACCAGTATCAGTGGTAGACACACTTTTAAATACAATAAAAATTCTATTTAAATTGCCAGTTGTAATTATCCCGAGCTGTGCGAACCACTCCAGTCTATTGTGCAAGTCATTGGGGCCATAAATGTATTTCTGAGCACGGGTCGGCACAATTAACTGAAAATGCTAACGATGTTTGCACAGATTAATTAAAGGCTAAGATTGATTTGGCCCAGGGCTTGAATTTTATTCTATTGTAATACAACTAGTTTTTATCGCTGAATTATACATATCATATGATTTAATATGATGTAAACTTTGTAATCTTTTTAAGCAAATAAGAGATTTTTTTGTAATTTGTACATATGTATTAGCTTTTCACAAATTTCTTAGTTTAATAGTATTTTCTTTATGCAATAATAAAATAGATGTCTATATATTTTCTGTATAAGGTGAATGGTGTTTAAAACAATTGTTTTCCCAATTTTTATGTTGTATTTACTGAAAAACAATTAATTTTATATTGCTGAAGGGAATGTTTCCTAATCTTTAAATTGCCTTGAGGTTCTATGAGGCATATAATTGTATAGCATATACAAGATTTATGTATGTATGGTCTAAAAAAGAAATACACTTCCTTAAATTGTATTTCTTTTATAAATAAGATTATGAAATGTACTTGTACTTTTATAAGAACCTTGTGTTTTTACTAACATATTTTATGTTTTATATTACTTTTATGGTTTCTTTATCTTCGTACTAACCAAATCCCTCGAACCCATTTGTCTATCTCCAATATCCCTTATTTATATAAATAAGTACACATACA